TTTTTTTTTTTTTGAGACAAAGTCTTCCTCTATTGCCCAGGCCAGAATGCAGTAGCATGGTCATAGCTCACTGCAGTCTCCACCTCCCAGGCTCAAGCAATCCTTCCACCTCAGCTTCCTGAGTAGCTAGGATGACAAGTGTGTACTAGCACACCTGGCTAAAAATTTTAATTTTTTGTGGATATGGGGTCTCCCTGTGTTGCCTAGGCTGGTCTTCAACTCCTAGGCTCAAGCGATCCTCCCGCCTTGGCCCTCCCAGTGTGCTGGGATTACAGGCATGAACTACCATGCCCAGCCAAGAATGACTTTTGGAAATTCTTTCTTTAAAAAAAATCACTCTTCATCTATGTTAAAATGCTGTGGTATTTCATTGCCCAGCATGCAGAATACAGGGAGAAGCTGGTGGAATATTATCAAATGTATTTAAACATGTGACAACGTTTTACTTAGCTTCCAATTACTAGTAGACTTCAGAGGGCAGAAGGTTGCCAGCTCATTCATCTGGTCATTACTTATCTTGACCAAAAGCCCACGAGAATATATACTGAAAGAATAAAACTTTCATTACCATTTAATGTTTTTCGTTAAAGCCTTATTTTAATACTGTGAAACCAGATTTCAGAGAATGTCATAATTAAGATTTTCATAAAAAGAAACATTTAATACTATTTAAACATATAATGACTCCCAGTGCTACCTGAATTCATTCACATCATAAACCAACTAAAATGGGCTTTAATCTCTACGGTGACCATGCTGCCTTTACTTAACCTTAATATACCACTATCAAGACCAATTTATGAGCCACACTAAAATAATTATCATTGTTTTATTATAATTTCACCTTATTAACCAGAAATATTAACCTGGTTAATCATCTACCGTATTTGCCAGACTCTGAATAATTGGCAGTTCTTTTAAAAAATCAAATGTATCCTGGAAAGAGGGGTATTTGCCAACTCAAGGATGTTTTAAAGAATGTGCTGGGGACTCATGGCCACTCTAAAAGAGGAGTTCCAGAAATGTTGAAGCATTTTGGGAATAACTGTATAGTCTTCCAGGTCTTCTACTTTGAAGAGAAAATGCCTTAGATAGATAGATTTGTATATACCTTTGGGATTCATCAGATTACTTTTAGTCACAAGTCAGATTGAGTTTTGACTGGCGCAGGTCATTTGGCAACTATTTGATAGAAAAATATTAAATAGTTCTATCGGAAAGAGAATGTCTTGGCAGATCTCTGAGGCTTGTGTGTAGGTGTTCTCAGGAATCCTCCCGGGGAGCCTGCTTTTGTGGGTTCCTTGGGAATGGTTTCAGGTGAGCAGCAGGAGCGCTCAAGGCCGAAGAGGCTGAAATGCATTAAGTAGGCTGGAGTCAGGTGACGCGCCACAGCCACCATATCCTGACAGTGGACAAGTCACTCTCTGGGACCTATTTTCCTAATCTATCAAATGATGGAGTTGGACTGAACAAGGGCTGCATTTCTTTCTAGGATTTTCTGGAAACGGGGATCATATCCATGCTTTCGTTGGAGATTGTATTTTAACTAAGGAAGCTGAATGCTGAAGGAGAGGAATTTTGTCTACGAACAAAATTTTTTATCATAAAAGTAATTCATACTTTGTGTAAAAAATTACAACATTGCAGAAGTGTATAAACAGAAAGTAAAAACCTCTTCCCTTAACTCAGCACTCAGGTTTATTGTTCTGTATATCCTGAACAGAACATTCAGGCTCGCACTAGCCATCTTTGAGGCAGTAGTTAAGACTCTAAATCTTTTCCTATGTTTTAATGGTTCTTACAGTTGGTGAGATGGAAGAGTAACATTTGTGGAAGTCTTTTTCCTTCTAAAAAGGAAATTCAGATCATCTAGCCCATATAAATCCATATGAAGAAGTTAAGTTCCAATACTTGAAAATAACTTATACTATTACTAGAGTAATATAAAAATTGCAAAAGACAAAAGAAAATACATTAAAATGTTAATAGCAGTTTTACAGAGGTGACAGGATTTTGAGGTATTATTTTTTCTGTTCTTCCTCGATTGAGGCAATACATTTTGTGTTACTTGTATAATAAAAAAGATTTACATACCAGAATAGTTGGTTGATTGGCTTCAAACCAAACAGTCCAATAACTGATGCATTAAATCTTTATTGACTAAACAGCTTAAAAATTATTACTGCTATTTCCTTTATTTGTTGTTGTGAATTTTACTCAGAATTAAAGATAAATGATTATATTAGTAATTACAGGAAAACTAGTAAAAATCTTAAAGACATTGAATGGGTTAATGTACTGAGCAGCTATGGAATGCAAGGCACTGTGGGAGTGGGGTGAGTCTACTCCCCCCAAAGGCTCAGGGTCTGGCAGGGGAGGTGAGATAAAAACCCATAGCCATACACTGGCTGGCCTGTTCTGAGGGTTGTGAGACAGGATGCTAGGAGACCAGAGAAGAAAGAAATGTCTCGACGTGAGGAGAAATCAAGGGAAGCATGGTTTTAGAAAATGGGTGGGATGTTTTTTGTACCGAGAGACTGAAGAGGCTTTTTAAAGTGGAGGGAAGGCAAACTGTGGCATAAAGATGCCAATACCAGGTATTATCAGGAAGAACAGAGTCCAATTTGGCTGGAGCATAGGGCATATGTAGGGGAAGGGAGAGGACTGGCACGGGGGCAGAAGGGGACTTGAATGTCAGGTGACAGTCAAAGCTTGCACTCTAATAAGTAGGTGATTGATAGGTGATCTTGGGGACTTTTGAGCAGGAAGAGTGGATAATAAATCAATACTGGCTTAGGACAATCCCTTTGGCTTTGGCCAAATTGTGACTCAGGTAAGGGACGGTTGGGGGAGACAAGGATGGGAAGATGCATGATAAATGGGCCCTATGCTTGGCAGGAAGGCAGTGCAATATTTTGTAGAAATAGACTTAGCAGAGCAGGCGCCCAGCATTCAGTGAGACCGCAGTTCAAACCCCATACAGACTCTTAGCTGCTGTATGACTTGAAGCTGTTAGTAACTCCCCTGAACCTGTCTCATCTACAAAATGGGCATAGTAGCACCTATGTCATGGCAGGTAATTATTCTTGTAAAGCATTTAGCACAGCTCTGACGACACATGGTGAATGCTCAGTAAATATTAATGTCACTAATTCCAGTCAATTCCATTAACTGGAATTAATTAGTTGGAGTTAGGAAGGAAACAGGTGTCAGCTGGGTCGACTGAGGGAAGCAGAGATCTCAGGAAGCAGTACATGGTGGTTCGGTGGGAGCATGGCATCTGTGAGGGAGACTGTCTGCAGTGGGATCCCACCTCTACTGCCGGCTAGCTGTGATCTTCTACAGGCTACTTAACCCTTCTAGCTCAGCACAGTGTTACCATGGAGCTGGTGTGAGAGTAAAGTGAGATAATTAATGCATGTTAAGTGTGTCGTATGTGCCTGATACATTGTTAGTGCCCAGTAAATGTTAGTCATCAGGTGAGGGGTGTGATGTGGGGTTGAATAGATTCGCCTCTTCCACTCACAGAGGCAGGATGTGCAAGGAGGAGTGGAGACATGCAGCAAGGGATTGGGCATGAAGGATCAGGCCTGGGGAGAACACTTGGCCTGGAGATATTCAGGAGTCCCTGGCCCAGAGATTACAATTCTGCAGGGAGATGAGCCACGAGTGGAGTATTAGATATAGGCCTAAGGAAGCAATCAGACACTTCCAGAATAAAGGACATTTGCTAAGACAGCTGGCCTGGTTGCTTCACAAAGTGTCATCGGAAAATATGTCGGGATTGTTCTAGACTAAAAGTGACTAGAGTTGAAACCAAAAGAATGTATGAACCTTGATGGGACCTGGGTTTTTTTTGTTTTGTTTTTTAAAGACAAACATTCTGGAGACAATTGTTGAATACTGATTAAGGGCTCTATATTAGAGGTTATAAAGAAGTTACTGTTTATATTTTTAGGCATGATAATCTTATTGTAATCACGTAGAACAATGTCTTTGTTCTCAGGAAATCTATGTGGAAATACTCAGGGGTGAAATGTCATTTTATGTACACATGCATGGGGTGGGGAGAACAGTAAATCTGGCAAAATGTTAACTATTCAATCCAAGTGGAGAGTACGTATCTGAGTATTCATTGTGCTAGCCTTTCAACTTTTTCTGGATGTGTGGAATTTTTCAATATAAAAAAAGGAAAAAAAAAAGAGGCCTGTGAAAAATCTGGGAACCAGTATACAACAGGAAAAGGAATTCTTTGGAGGAAAAACAGGATCCACCTACCAAGAGAGCAATTTCAAGAAGGGAGAGATTAAGCAAAATGGAGGCTGCAAATAGATCATCATATTTGGTCACTGAGAGATTGTGGCGGCTTGGAAATAGTCCACTGTAGCACAGAAAACTGAACCAGAGTGAAGGAGTAAAAACTGGGGAGGAAGTATAGGCAGCAAGGACTTGTTGGCCCTTCTGGGTTAAGTCTTTCTTTTCAGTAAGAAAGGGAGACTGAGTATTGATGAGGAAGATCCTGGGGGAAAGGGAGGGACTGAGACAGCAAAAGGGGGAATACTACAGGAGGAAAGACCCAGTAAACATGGGAGAGGAATGGGATGGAAAATGACAGGAAGATGTGGCCTTATGCAAAGGGATGCTTTCCCCTTCAGCCCAGAGGTGAGGACTATGACGACACGTGGGGAAGAAACCCTCTTCCTAGTGACAAGGGGATGAGGTGATGTCTTGCTAAGGTGGCAGATGTGAGGCCTGAAAGTGGACATATGTGCCACACTTGTCGTTAGGTCTGAACCAAGGGAAAGATGGCCGAGGGAAGACAGAGTGCACCTGGTATTGGTTGAATAATACGGGGAGTAAAAAAGGGGGCTCTTTGGGACTGCCCCGATGAGGGCTAGAGATGATGCAGGTCTACAGCAGTCACGGAAACTGGAGGGGACATCCCTCCGACCCTTCAGAACTTGGTGTTGGGCAGATTATGCATTAGGAACTCTTTTTTTGGGTAAAAAGCTTTCTCATTTCCCCGCACCCTCCACCTTGGGCTGTTGGAGGCACATGGTGTGGTAAGTCTTTGGTATGGAATGAAGCTCTCTATCCTTTCAAAGTCACCAGGTTCGGGTTCCCAGCCCTAAGTGGTCATGGCACCAGGGGGTCTGGGTTCACGGGGCTGCTGCATCTCTCGGGTGTTCCGTGTGCCACCCCATCCCTTGCATGCATGCCCACGAAAGGCCGCCCAGGCACCCCAGGTGACCCCATGGAAGTGAGTTTTGGTTCTGCTCTGGCTTCGAAGTGCTTCTCAAGCTGAAGCCTTCGGAAGCGGAAGGCCCTACAGTTAGCTGGAGCTTCCAAGTGAGTAGCGGCTGCTTCGGGTCTGGCTTCGGTGCCACCGAGGGCTGAAGGCGTTGGTCGGAGAAGCGCTGGCCTGGGGTGGGGAAGTGGCCACACCCCTACAGGAGGACCTTTGTGATGACGCAGCTGTCCCTGTCCCCCTCGGGGTCGTCCTTGAGCGGCAGCGCAGTGGGAGCCCAGCCCAAGGCGCCCTCACGGCGGCTCACTTCCCGCAGCCGCACCTGCAGCGCCTCCCGCTCGGCCTGCAGCTCCCGGCGCGCCTGGGCCGCGGCGCGCTCCTCCTCCTGCAGCGCCCTCCTCCTCCGCTCCAGGGCGCGCTCACCCTGCTCCACGGCCGCCTCACGCCGTTCCAGCTCCCGCTCCCGCCGGCTGCCGCGCACGGCCAGTGCGCCCATCTGTTCCAGCAGGCGCGCCCAGTCGCCCTCGGGGGCCGCAGCGGGGACGGGCGGCGGCGGGCAGGGCGCGGCAGGTGGTGAGCGCCGGGTGCCGCTGCTCTCCAGCTCCCGCCGGTGCGCGCTCTTCAGGTGCCTCCACAGCGCCGAGGTCCCTGCGTGGAAGCCCGGGCCGCGGCCCACCTGCTCCCCGCACAGACGGCAGGTGGCCCAGTGGCCCGACGGATGCCCGGGGCGCCCCGGGGCCAGATGGAAGTAGCCCCAGGCCTCGGAGTACGGCGCCCCCAGGCGGCCGGGAGGCATCGGCGCTGGCCCCAGTCCGGGACACTGACCGCCCCGTGCCGCCGTGTCGTCTAGCCCGCGGGCCTCGTCCATGGTGCAGGTCGGCTCGCCACTCCTCATTCTGCGGCGCCCGCACGCTGGGGAGCAGGGGAAGAATAATAATGAGTGTTAGGATCACGCACACAGCTCCTAGACTACAGTTAGTCTGAGAAAGCATGCCGCCCTCCATTTTCTTACCGATAAAAATCCTATAGTGTGGGTAGGTGTCTAGGTTTCTAGTTAATCTTCAGTATTAAGTGTTGATTCCTCAGGAAAAAAACTGTTAAAAATGTCTAGCCCTTCCTATACTAGGAATCCTGTTTGAAATCAAGTGGATCCCTAGTGAACAAGTATTTCTACTAATAGCGGGAGGCTAAGCTGCTTGAACGGAAAAAACTAGCTAACTCCGTGCAGTGTCTGTGTTAGCTTTAACTAGTCTCTGCTTTCTTAACAATAACAACAATAAAAAAGGTACTGTCTTCAGAATAACAGCGAGGCTTCCTTATGCAGTCTTCTCTGGGTGCTGCACAGCACACTTCAGCAATGACCAGAAAAAAAGCTTTGGGAATGAAAATTTTGTTTCTTAAACTTCAGGAGTGGAAGAGCCAGTGGTGAACAGCCTTTTAAAAAGCTTTCAACGACTGTATGCTTTTCAAGATAAAAATATGTTTTTGTGATTATAAAAACAATCTACCATGAGAAAATCGGCAGTACTGAAAGCAATGCTTTTAAGATATGCACATTTAGGAAATGGCAATGTCCAAAGCAGCACTCTAAAGTTTTACCTTTAAATTAGACAGTGGGTCATTTCCCAAGGACTCTGGGGTCCCTGTCATTGCCTCAGGGTTTCCAACCATCTCAGGTTCCACGGGTAGAAACAATGCATGCAACACGATTCCTGAGTTCCGAAGAACCATCAGCAGTGCTAGGAGTAAATTCAGAGGACAGGCAGGCCAGTGAAAGAAATGCATTCAAACCACCTTAAAGATAGATACTAGAAATAATGAGCAGCGCCATGCCCTCGTTCACTTTTTCTAACCCTTTCATAGATACCCAAGGAATAAAACAAATAAAATTAGTTTTCTTTATTGTTTGTGCTAACTAAAAGATCCCCTCTACATATTTGCAAGATACAAAGTTTGCTCAATACTTTTAATTAAGCAAGAAAAAGAAATAAAAGTAATAATGTCTTGCTTTGTTCAACACAAAATCTGTTAAAAGGATCCAAACATAATGCAATGACTGTCACCGCAGTCTTTTTTATTAGGAAAACAATTCACCACTGCAGTAACCTATTAAAGAAAAGGGAATACAAAAAAAAGGCAAAGTTTATTCCTTAGGAAATAAGTTCACAAAGGACCAAATGTGTGATTCTAGATAAATTTGCTTTGAAAGTTGAAAAACAATGAGAAGAAAACACATGACAGACTTCTTGAGCTCTTCTGAGAACTTATTTCAGGGAGAAAAGGGCAAGGTGAGACCCAGGCACAGTGAGATCAATGCTGCTCATGCTGTCAGATTTTGAACCAGCAGCCATGGACATGACAAAGTTCCAGAATCCTTCTTGTTAAACACAACTGGAAAAAACTGAAGACAAAGATGAGAATAGGAAAAATAAGCTGCTATAGTAACAGAAGCATTTAGTGTAAACTATGAATTCAGTTGCTAATAGTCTTGTTAGAGATGCACAGTACTTTTCTAAACCTAAGTATTATTTTTCCCACCAAGCAAGTCCACTCCGGATCAGGTATGACATTTAACATATCTCATTTTTTAAAAAAGATAACAGATCTGCCAGAATCATCAAAAAAGACAAGTACCATGCATCTTCTAACAAGGAAATGGCTATTTACATGTCTTCTGATATACAGGCATTGATTTAAATATGGTCACTCACGATAAAGACCAATTAGCATAAAAAATCTTTAGAAATTAAAGGCTACATTTTCCCCCAAGAGATTTATTACATTGCTAAAGTCTCAAAAGTGAGGAAAGTAGGATGAGGAGTTACAGACCACCTTCAAGAATGGTATTTTTGTGGCCAGTAAATATTATGGTTATGTAACATTATGGTTGCTAAACAGAGTAAGATGTAAGGGTTATAAACATTTTTTTAATTATCTAACTTGACTTAGAATTTTTTCTATACTTTTTTCTTTTTTAAAATTTCTATTTCCTTCTATATTGAATCTGAGCTTTCCCGAGGTCCTTTTTTATTACTGGACAAACACAAAAGTGGACAGAGTATTAAAAGGGATGTAAACGTTTCTTATAACATCAAGAGTATTGCTTTGCATTCTGATATGCTTGAGCTAAAGCTTGGAAACTGCACATAAACCCGCAGGTTGTCTTACTTGTGCCAAAGTCTGAGAGTCATCCTTACTGATGTGGCCCTAATAGAGCCAGAGGTGACCCATTATTGTCATGCTTTTTACCTCTCCGGGTTTCTTTAAAAACTGGAATGCCCAGAGGGAGTGTTGCACAGGTGAATGCCATCTGTTAGGAGTTAAAGTGGGCACAAGGTGAGAAGCACTGACTTTGACGTCTTAATCCTTTTGACCTAGTAGAAGCCTCACAAATGTCGGCCAGCACAGCGCTGCCCCTCCGAGGGTGGCAGGGGGACATCCTCTGCCTGGGCAGCCCTTCGATTTTGGAGGTCGTAACCGGTGGAAGGCAGCATGGGGCAGAACTGCCTCACCTTCTCAGTCCTCCACACCATGCGGCTATATTCTAGCTCAATACAATCCTCAGTCTCAGTATCTACCGTAACAGCCTGGTTAGCTCTGCTAAACAACCCGAGTGCATTTCAGCTGCGCCTGCAATGTGGAGGGGGGGAAAGCTCTTCAGACACTTCAGCCACAACCATAACACACAAAGGGCTCTTCAAACTGACAATAAAAAGACAAAGAGCCCGATAGAAAAACAGACGAGAAATATGAGTAGGCAAATGACCTAACAGCAAACTCAAATAGCCAGGAAATTTGTGAAAAGGTGCACAACATCACTTATTTTCATGGAAATGCTATTAAAGTAGCAGGAAGGTATCATTTTACATCCATCACACCAAGAAACATTAAGAGGTCTAACAGCCAAAGTTACAAGGGAGGTAGAGAAAACGCACACACTCCTCAATTACTAGTGAAGATGGGATGGATTTTAGGAAAGCATTCTGGCCATTTCTTCCCTCCCTCCCTCCCTCCCTCCCTTCCTTCCTTCCTTCCCTCCTTCCCAGGGTCTTGCTCTGTCACCTAGGCTGGAGTGCAGTGGCACAATCATGGCTCACTGCAAACCTCTGCTTCCCGGGCTCAAGAAGCGATCCTCCCACCTCAGCATCCAAAGTAGCTGGGACTACAGGTGCATGCTACCATGCTTGGCTAATTTTTGTATTTTTTGGTAGAGACAGGGTCTATGTTACCCAGGCTGGTCTTTCTTGAACTCCTGGCTCAAGTGATCCACCTGCCTCAGCCTCCCAAAGTGCTGGGATTACAGTCATGAGCATATCCAATGAGAATACGTATCATTAATTCTGTGGTTAGCTAATAAGAAGAAAATGAAAAGTAAGAGCTCCCTCAATTTTTCCTTGAACATTTTTTTTTAAACTAACACAAAGGTGCCAATGAATTTGAGTATTTTGCTTACATCCATCCACTCCATCCAACTCTCATTCAAATGCTCATTGTGCACCTGCTAAGGTCAGGTGCGTGCTTTCTGCCAAGCATTCCAAGAGGAATGTCACGAAGTCTCTGCTCGCAGGAAGCGTACCATCTGGTGGGGAAAGAGATGCTTCCAACAATAATTCTGATACCTGTGTGATAGGGCCGGCTGCAGTTTCTATATTAATTAAAAACAGAGGCTGGGCTCGGTGGCTCACGCCTATAATCCCAACACTTTGGAAGGCCCAAGCAGGTGGATCACCTGAGGTCAGGAGTTCAAGAGCAGCTTGGCCAACATGGTGAAACCTTTTCTCTACTAAAAATACAAAAATTAGCTGGGCGTGGTGGCGGGTGCCTATATTCCCAGGTACTCGAGAGGCTAAGGTAGGAGAATTGCTTGAACCCAGGAGGTGGAGGTTGCAATGAGCCAAGATAGCACCATTGCATTCCAGTCTGGGTGACAAGAGTGAAACTCTGTCTCGGGAAAAAAAAAAAAAAAGATATAACCTGAGATTCTACTCCTGGAGATCTCTTCTATAGAACTAACAGCACCAATAAACACAGTCTTGTGTCAGGATGTTCATTACAGAATCATGTAGGGTGACAAGAAACTGGAAGCAAGGGAATGCCTGCCACCAGGAAAATGGCTGAGTATATAACATATGTTTATATCAGGGAATATTATATAGCAATTAAAGAGGAATAGCATGAAGTTCTGTTCAATGTCTTAGAAGGATATCTGGAGGAACTGCTCAGGGAGAAAAGAGATGCAGAAGAGTGTATAATATGATCCCACTATTATTAAGTAATACACATATCTGTATAGGCAATATACAGATACAGATGAAGAAAAATAAAGGAGATACTATGGGTTGAGGCAATGGTAACTGATGTGAAAGAAGGGAGAAGGGGAAGAGGTAAACACAAAAGCAAAAGCAATAAGATGCTAAGAAAGCATGCATGTGATCACGTGTATACATTTAGGGAAAGTGTGTATATCACAGGATCTCTACAAAAATAAAAAATAATTTTACAAAACAACCCCTGGAGCAGGGTGCGGTGGCTCACACCTGTAATCCCAGCCCTTTGGGAGGCCGAGGCAGGTGGATCACTTGAGGTCAGGAGTTCAGAAGACCAGCCTGGCCAACATGGTGAAACCCCATCTCTATGAAAAATAGAAAAAATTAGCTGGGCGTGGTGGCGGGCGCCTGTAATCCCAGCTACTCTGGAGGCTGAGGCAGGAGAATCGCTTGAACCTGGGAGGCGGAGGTTGCAGTGAGCTGAGATTGCACCGTTGCACTCCAGCCTGGGCAACAAGAGCGAAACCCTATCTCAGAAAAACGAAAAACAAAAACCAAAAAAACAAAACAACCCTTGGCTCCTCAGGCGTGTGAGCTCAGGCAGGGCCAGCCCAGCCTTAACTGTGGAGGCTGGTGGGACAGTCCCATGGGGAAGCCCACTGCTGTGCCGCCTGGAGGAGGAAACCCAGCGTGTGGGGCAGCTCATTGTCACGTGGTTTGCTGTGCTCTGCAGAAGGAGATTCTGTATGCACACCCAGGACGTCATGGAAGAGGAGCTCATCCCATTCATCTCCCTGGCACAGAGTAGACACTTGGGGGATGCTGCATTAAATGAAATGAACCTGACTCTGTTTCTTTAGCCCCAGCTCACCCGAGTCTCAATCTTCCCATCTGTCAAGAGAAATAAGATTATTTGCCTCTAAACAGGTGGCTGAGATCAGACAGTGCAAATGATGTCACTGTTGGACTCTCTGGTGTTATATAAATTCAAGGCATGAACAAAAAAGAAACTACCGATACTTACTACTCAGACGCATCCACGTTAAGATTTTAGTGGTTAAAAGGCAGTTATTTTTCCATCTGACATTATGTTATTGAACAAAGTAAGTAGTCTAAGTTGGGGGAATCCCCTTGGGAGTTGTTTGAGTACAAAGAGCAAATAAAAAAGAGTAACAGATCTAAGACCCTTAGCCCTTAAATTTATTTTCACTTCCTAAACTGACCCTCATGCAAAATAGGTTGCTTATCACTAAGGTAAAATAAGATAATGAGGAGGTTTAATTAGCCAAAGCCCTGTGATATGCATTTCTTCCTTATCAAATACCCAATGAGAATGCATATCATTAATTCTGTGGTTAGCTAACAAGAAGAAAATGAAAAGTAACAGCTCCCTTAATTTTTCCTTGAAAATTTTTTTTAAACTAACACAAAGGTGCCAATGAATTTGAGTATTTTGCTTACATCCATCCACTCCATCCAACTCTCATTCAAATGCTCATTGTGCACCTGCTAAGGTCAGGTGCGTGCTTTCTGCCAAGCATTCCAAGAGGAATGTCACATAGTCTCTGCCCTCAGGAAGCGTATCCTCTGGTTGGAAAAGATGCTTCCAACAATAATTCTGATACCTGTGTGATACGGTTTGGCTGCGTCCCCACCCAAATCTCATCTTGAATTGTACTCCCGTAATTCCCACGTGTTGTGGGAGGGAACTGGTGGGAGGTAATTGAAACATGGGCGCGGTTTCTCCCATACTGTTCTCGTGCTAGTGAATAAATCTCATGAGATCGGATGGTTTTATAAACAAGAAGCCCTTTTCACTTGACCCTCATTCTAGCTCATGCCGCAGTCAGCTAAGGAGTGCCTTTCGCCTTCCGCCATGACTGTTAGGCCTCCCTAGCCACGTGGAACTTTAAGTCCATTAAACCTCTTTCTTTTATAAATTGCCCAGTCTTGGGTATGTCTTTATCAGCAGCGCGAAAACAGACTACTAACAGACTGGTAAAGGTGAAATCAGTGCTCGCTCCTTTGGGTGAATTCCATTACATCATCTCCACTGGGGAAGGGGTGGGCGTGGGCAGCTCCTGGGAGCTGATGTCTTAGGGACCCTAACACAGAAATTCATGCAGTTCAGCATCCCTTCCTCTCCCATGCCCCACAGGGCACAACCGCATTGTCATCCACCACCAAAACACATTACCCGTAGTACTCGACTCTAATAAAGTTCCAGTTCCTCAGTTGTATAATGAGGCTTCCAAGCTCCTATTTTAAAAGAAAGTTTCTTGAAGCTAAATAAAAGCACTACTAACATGAAATTAACAGTGGAAATCTCTGAGTGCAATTTCAGGGTGAAAAAAACTGAAAAGACAAATGCAGATTTTAGATATTTAAAGGAAGGAGAGAGAGTAGTGTTGCTGGTACCATGCCTCTGCACTTGCTGTAGCTGAGTTTCATTTGAGTATCCATTATTTGGAAGGAGTTCTTAAATCTAAGCCTGTGGAAGACAATAAATTCACATTAATTATCTCTCCATTTGACTCAATTTTTGAAGAGGTTCTATCCTGATAAACTATCAGATTCAATCCCAGATTCCTCGGTATGATGTCCCTGAATACCAGTATAAAGAATAAAGGAAGAAATCAAAACCTGGATGAATAATCTGTATAAATATGGGCATATACACAAGGTATGACTGTAATATTGACAGTCATCCTATAAAGCACCCACAAAAGTTAATTGTATTATTTTATACTTATGCTTATGCACATAAAAAAATATTTGACAGGCTAAAGGCCAAAGAACCAGGCACTGTTCTCAAAAGGACATAGTAATTAATTACACTTCTATTTGTCCTTTCATACTCAAGGCTACTCACTGTAGCTGGGTTAACCAGGCAGAGTTTAAACCAATATATGTTGGTTGAGCCTGGATCTTAGATGAGAAATTCACACTCATGTGAAATTCACACAGACTTATGTGGAAACACTAAAAACATTTACTTCATCCACCAGTGACTTTAATCAAAGTAGAACAAAATAATTAATACAAGTAATTAGAGTTGACAACTGAAGTGTCAAGAAAACCACAGTTCATCTGTTATCCGTCCATCTCTGTTGAAATATTAATTTACTGCCATATATTAATCTATTTATAAACAGATCCAGACAATTAGAAAAATTAGTCTGGAATCACCAGGCTGAAGGCTTAGCTGAAGTTAAAAGACAAGTAAAAATGCCTCCAAACTGTAAAACCTGAGTTGGGGAATAAATGGTAAAATGTGTAAAAGTTTAGAAAAAGGTTATATGTGGACTGTAAAAAACACACTGGACTCACAGGTAATTATGTGGTGAATCAGAGACGTTTCTTAAATGTCATAAGCCAAACTCTTAGATATTTCTACCACTAGCTAAAAGGCAGAAAAGCACTCTATTAATGCACTTTTTAAAATGAAAATTGCGACGTGTTCTGCCCTTAAAGTGGACCTTTATTTCAGGCCTGCATTACTTTGCTTAATAGATATGGTCCTAAAGATTAAGGTGGTGATCCATTTTATCTGGTAAAAATGCATAATTTAATCTGAGTTATAGGAATTTAAAGCCGCCCTACTTTGAAGGCCTTTGTGACTCAAAGATTTTTTAATTTAATTTTTAGATTGAGAACTACCTGGCTTGGGCTTTTGGTCTTTTTATAATATATATCGCTGTCTACTTTTTTAATTCTTGGCTGCCTCAAGCTATTCTTGCCTCCAAAAGCTGTCATCATAATATATGAATAAAAACGGCAGAAAATAATTACCCTAATTAGGTTAATGTATTAAGTTGTTTCTACAGCAGTTTCTCTTAAACACCTTATCTTTGTAGTCTTGGCTAACTAGAAATTCGACTAGTGGTAAGTATTTATTTTTTCCTTCAAGGGGATTTTTGCTTTGGTAAACCTCGGACATTTGGTTAGTGCAACAAATCACAGAAACTGCTCCAGCGGACTCCGAAAGGAGCGGAAAATTCTTTTGTTTGGGGGCCACGAGGGGTGGAGGAGGGGTGGGGATTCTGGTGTAAGCTTTTGGCTTGCATTCACTTTCTCCCTCCGAAAGTGGGCGACACCAAGTAAGTCCCAATTACAGAAAGAACCCACTGCAGGGTGCCCAGCCGCTTGCCCAGTAAAAAGACTGTAATCAGACAACTTTAATAAAGGGAGAGGAGAGTGGCAACGAATTTCCACATTCCGAACAAGCCTGTCGAAAGCGGAGTGTAGGGAAGGAGCAAGAATGAGGTACTGGAAGATGGTGAGCGGGGTCTTGCAGCAGAATCCCGGGCCCACCTGCCTTCTCAATCGCGACAGCCGGCCCGGAGAAGGGCAGCCCAGCGAAGGGCACGCCCCGCGCGGGTGCCAGGGAGGCCGGCGGGGGCGTCCGCGGTCGCTGCTCACCTGCGCTCCCAGCTGCCCGGCCCGGCCCGCCTAGCCCACCGAGTCTCGAAGCCCACACTCACCCCATTACCCGCGAAACGCTGCCGGAGCCGGCGGCTGGTCGGGAGTCGGGGATGGTAGATCCCCCTCCAGGCGCCTCGCTGACATTTTGTCCCGGACGGAAAACCTCGGCGCTTCCCACTTAAAGACACAGCGCTCCATTCACACGTCTGCGGGGAAAGGGGGGCCGTCACTTGTGGCCTTCACCCGAAAGTGGTAGGGGAGTCGCTCTGAAACCACCAAGGTCCGCGAGCGACAGACTGTGTTGGCCAGGGTTTAAAGATGACGCAATAGCTGAGTGTGGTTGAAATGTAACTATTGTTTTATAACTTTGCATTAACCTTCCAAGACCTGGATTCCCGGGCCTGAGTCTCAGAGCGCGGTTTGCATCCTTGCAGGCTGCAGGCACATGATGTCACAAGTTATTAGAAGAAATCCCTCCAACCTAGGTCTGGACAGATGAAGGCGGCGCTTGTTGGTGTTCACCAAAACACCAGCATGGTGTACCAGCTTTGGCTAGATTATACTCAGGTAACGAACAACCCCTGCAACTGAGTAGCTTCAAGGTCCGTTTCTCAAGCGAATTACTGTGGCTGAAGGGAGCTTTCGTAGTACTCCCCCAGTTTTCTTCACTTCCGGCTCCAGGCTGAAAGATCAACTTTTCTGGGTCGTGCTCCCTGCTGGGCTGGTAAACCAACTTTGAGGGAGAAGGTGGAAGTCCTGATTTGTAGTGTTTGCTATTTCTGTGATGTTAATACTCCCACCATGGCCGATTTCAAGCTACAAACAGTCTAACAAGTGGCTTGCCAAGTTCCTGGAAATGTAACGATTAGCTCTTGTACGTGACTGGCACAAGCTGCTCCTCAAACTCACATTCCGCATGCCTCAGTTCTGCTCAGGTTCTATTGGTCAAAACTTGCTGTCAGTGGGTGGGGAAGTATACCCCTCTCTTAAGGAAGCCTTGCAAGTCATGTGACAATGAAACGGGAGAGTTCCCTGATTTCCCCGTTTTCCCCGCCCTTTGCAGGACATGCAACAGGGCTGTGGCTGGTGTGTTCGGTCTCTGCCCTGCTGAAACCCCTTATGGGAGGTGGAGCATGCAGACGGACGGGTGCAGGAGCTGGGGTGCAAAAGCTGGGGCGCTAGGCTTCCAGCCCCATTGCAGTGTCCAGGGGCAGGAGCCTGTGATTCCTGGAGCCCAAATGGGCTTGTGTTACAGTGTGCTCTTTTAGCCTTACCATCAGCGGACGGCTTAAGTGTTAACCAGCTCAATAGACCCTCTGCATTTTTGCAAGCGCAGAGGGTCAGTCTGACAGCTTTCTGTATCTCGAGCTCTTGTCCCCCCTCCCAGAAAAATCAGGTCACACATGGACTTGAAGGATAGTGAATGCTGGTGAAGTAGAGTAGTGGGGTGGGGGTTATTAGGTGGTAGGGGTGGCAGTCAGTGGGATGGATGGGGAACTGGAAAGGGCATGGAGTAGGAAGATGATCTTCCCCTGGAGTTTGACCGTCCAGTGGTGGATTCTCTGACTGTCCCCAGCTGAACTCCTCCTAACATTCCTTCTCTTTACCTGCCGCTCTTCTGCTCTTCTGTTCATCTGCTCATCTTTTGCTGCTGGAGCCTGGTTTCTGGAGTTTATTTGCGTACAGGATAGGGGGTCATGGAGGGCCAAAAGGTAACTTTTGGGCACAAGGGCAGGAATGCCTCCCTTCATTTAGGGCCATGGGTTTCCAGGCTTGAGGGTGAGGCCTTTGCCAGGGAACTGCCTTATTCTACCCAGTAGTTCCCTGTCTTCTGTCCCTATCAACAATAAGTGAGCTGAATAATACTCTTAAAAGGAGGACGAGAAATAACTGGGTAGAATAATACAATCCACCTTTCCAATAATGGTTTCGGAAGAAGAAACTGGTTGGGTGTCTTCAAAGGCAGGGGTCCCCAACCCCGGGGCCATGTATCAGTACCCTTTGTACCCTGTTAGGAACCAGGTGGCACAGCAGGAGATGAGTAAGGGGCAAGCAAAAGAGGGAAGCTTCATCTGTATTTACAGCCGCTCCCCATGACTAGCATTGCCGTCTGAGCTCCACCTCCTGTTACATCAGCTGGGGCATTAGATTCTCATAGGAGCACAATTGTGAACTATGTGCATTCAAGGGATCTAGGTTGTGTGCCCCTTATGAGAATCCAATGCCTGATGATCTGTCACTATCTCCTATCATGCCCAGATGGGCCCATCTAATTGCAGGAAAACAAACTCAGGGCTCCCACTGATTCTACATTATGGCGAGTTGTATAGTTATTTCATTATATGTTACAGTGTAATAATAATAGAAATAAAGTGCACAATAAATGTGATGTGCTTGAATCATCCCAAACCCATTCCCCACCCCTGTCCATGGAAAAATTGTCTTCCATGAAACCAGTCCCTGTTGCCAAAAAGGTTGGGGATTGCTGTTCAAAGGGATGATTTTGCAATGTGAAGGCCAACTATTAGGTTACTACTGTTCTTCAGGCCCAAAGGACACTTTATAGCTGTGGACATCTGATAAAAAGAAAAGTAATGAGTATACTGTTGGTGGGAATGTATATCCAGACACCCATTATGGAAAACAGTATGGAGGCTTCTCAGAAAACTAAAGATAGAACTGTCATATGATCCGTCAATCCCACTACTGGTTATTTATCCAAAGGAAAGGAAATCAATGTATCAAAGGGATCCTTGTACCCCCGTTTATAGCCACACTATTCACAATAGCCAAGATATGAAATCAACCAAAGTCTATAAACAGATCAGTAAAGAAAATGTGATATATATACACAATGGAATACTATTCAGCCATAAAAAGCAATGAAATCCTGTCATTTGCAGCGACATGCAGGGAACTAAAGGCCATCTTGTTAAGTTAAATGAGTCAGACACAGAAAGGCAAAAATCACATGTTCACACTCATGTGGGAGCTAAAGAAGTTGATCTCATGGAGGTAGAGAGCAGAAGGGTGTAGGAGTAGGGGAGTGAAGACAGGTTGGTGAATGGGTACAAGCAAACGGATAAGATGGAATAAGTTCTAGTTTTTGATAACACAGAAGGGTGACTATAGTTAGCAACAATACATTGTATTTCCAAATAACTAGAAGAGAAGATATTTTTCTTTCTTTTTTTTTTTTTTTTTTGAGAGGGCTCTTGCACTGTTGCCCAGGCTGGGGTACAGTGGTGCAATCTCGGCTCACTGAAAGCTCCGCCTCCTGGGTTCACGCCATTCTCCTGCCTCAGCCTCCCAAGTAGCTGGGACTACAGGCACCTGCCACCACGCCCGGCTAACTTTTTTGTATTTTTAGTAGAGATGGGGTTTCACCGTGTTAGCCAGGGTGGTCTCAATCTCCTGACCTCATGATCCGCCCGCCTCTGCCTCCCAAAGTGCTGGGATTACAGGTGTGAGCCAGTGCACCCGGCCGAAGAGAATATTTTTTTCTATGAGTTTGACTTTAATTTCTAAGATTCCACATATACTTGAGATCATGCAGTATTTGTCTTTTTGTGTCTGCCTTATTTCACTTAGCATACTCTTCTCTAAGACATCTATGTTGTTGCAAATGGTAAGAGTTCCTTTTTCTTTAAGGCTGAATAATATCCGTGTGTGTGTGTGTGTGTGTGTGTGTGTGTGTGTGTGTGTGTGTATACACCAGTTTCTTTTTTTATTCATCAGTTGATGGACACTTAGATTGTTACCATATCTTTTGGCTTCTGTAAATAATGCTGCAATTAACATGGGACTGCAGATACTTCTTGGAGATAGGGTTTTTGTTTCTTTTGGAAATATACCCAATAGTAGTATTAGTGGATCATATGGTAGTTCTATTTTTAATTTTTTGAGGAACCTCTATACTATTTTTCATAATGGCTGCACCAATTGACGTTTCCACCAACAGGGTAAAAGTGTCCCCTTTTCTCGAATGCTCACCAACACTTGCTGTCTTTTGACTTTTTGATAATAGCCATCCTAACAGGTGTAAGGTGATGTCATTTTGACTTGCATTTCTCTGCTAATTAGTGATGTCGAGTAGAAGAGAAGATTTAAAATGTTCCCAATACAAAGAAATGATAAATGTTCAAGGTGATGGGTATCCTGATAACCCTGACGATCATTACACATTGTATGCATGCATCAAAATATCGCATGTACCCCATAAATACGTACAAATATTTTGTATCAATAAAAACATGAAAAAGAAAAGTAACTAGTATAAATGGCCAGGTGCAGTGGCTCACGCCTGTAATCCCAGCACTTTGGGAGGCCCAGGTGAGTGGATCACTTAAGGTCAGGAGTTCAAGACCAGCCTGGCCAACATGGTGAAACCCCATCTCTACTAGAAAAATACAAAAATTAGCCGGATGTGGTGGTGGATCCCTGTAAGCCCAGCTCCCTGGGAGCCTGAGGTGGGAGAATTGCTTGAACACAGAGGTGGAGGTTGCAGCGAGCCAAGATCGTGCAACTGCACTCCAGCCTGGGTGACAGTGTGAGACCTTGTCTAAAAAATAATAATAAAATAAAATAAATAAAAAAGAAAAGTAACTAGTGTAAACGAATCAGGTTAAAGTCATCTCTAATTCATGTTTAAATATTTGAACAAATTTTTACAGTTTACTGTATCTGGCAGTTCTTTTAAGAAGAAGCTTTATTACTTTGAGTGTCTAAAAGAATCCATTTAACTTTAAACTGACCATGTAATGAGATACATGATCTTTTCATTAGTTCATAGAGGAGTTTTTAGTAAGTGCTGGTTATAGGCAAAGCACTATCTTAAGCCTAAGCAGGAGTCTGGAGACTATTCCTGCCCTCAAGAGGATTACACTCCAGTATGACAGTAAGACACATGCAACTCCAAGAAGAAAGTAAAAAATTATGTAAGAGGAAATATTCAAGTGCCATAATAAATTGAGAACGGCTACATAGTTTTGAAAGTGGCAGCATTTTATCAAGGCTTGAAAAGGAGTAGGATTGGACTCCTGGCATTATATGTTTATTATCTTAACGAGATGTATTTTTAAAGTCAGATAAAAGGAGCTTATCTTATTTGTGAGTCAGTGCTTAAATTTTCTTAAATTTTGTGAGTCAATGCTT